GATAGCACTTCACCCCATGCTCAAAATAATTTCAGAGTACAATCTTCTGGAAACGAACATTCATTAATAGCTTTGGCTGTCCAATTAGTACCATCGCACTTGTTTTTATTTACGAATTGTGTCAGCTATTAGCTCAGTGTTCAATTAGAAGGTCAGATGAGATGGGGCAGCGCTCCAGGGGTATCGCGACACTTTTTTGCGCTACTTTTTCATTTCTGCTTTGTGCACAACCAAATTTGGAAATACATAATGAATAAATTTGAAAGTCTATTTTCCGTTTTCATAATTAGGTAAAAAGGGGTTTTTCGATTTTGCGTTACATGGTATCGTGAAGTCCTTGAAAATTCATTATTCAGGTGCTGCTATAATAGTTTTTCGATGTTTGCATCGCAGATTAGCAATTATTTCTACTTAGGTATACACTGATGGTCGACAAATCTTTTATTTTTATATGAAATAGGAAGATTCAGGCATATATCGTCATAAAAATTGTATTGTCGTCAAGGCTACGAAAACTGCGTTACAACTAACGATACCATGGTAAGATTTATCGTTTTTCCTATCTTTATCACAATTTCTGCTGATTTTCACTGTTTTGTTCGACTTTTATGGCAGAAATAGGTTTATAGTGAAAACATAAGGTGTCCTGAGTGTTGTAAATATTATGTATATGCTATAGATGATAATAACACATATTAAGATGTTAATATCACCTTCTACAGTTAGATATATTAGCCACCAGATGATTGTATTGCAGGAAATAAATCATAATCATGCGGTAGAGGTATAATTATGTGGAGATTCTACCAAAGACGAAGCTAAGATAGCATTACTACCTCTTGTGTAGATGTACACAAGTATTTGGCTGTACCAAAGCATGTCATTGAGATATGGTTGTGACTTTTTTCTTTTTTTAAATTCTGAATTCACGGGACGACTACCTCAATTCTCAATAGCCGTGCAATTGTTTTGATGTTGTACCTACATTTCAATAAATATTTTTCAAACAGCTTACTTTTTTACTTACATGGGAAACTGTAGAAGTGTTGAGAATGTGTGTTTGAGTGTCAGTGAACTTTTGAATAAATGCACATTCCTTATAAATAATACATCACGTGTTTCTTCTTTTGCAGATAATTTCAAATAACAATGAATTAGCAATTGCATTGGATATGCAAAACAATCGATGCTTAAGCTTCTGCTCTAGTGTTGTACAATAATACGCTTCACCTTTTAAATAAAATTTTTCAAAAACATGCCGGTCTTTCACTGTATTGCAGATTTATTTTGGTCTGTTGTTGAAAATAAAGGTGAACATAGTAGACCTTTGGGGTTATGTCAATGGATGGAAAATAGGGAGTTCTGTGTGTATTTAGGCGAAAAGTAAACAATTCAGCAGACATTTAGGCGAAAAGTAAACAATTCTGCGGACAGTTAGGCGAAAATTCGGTAATTTGGGGGATATTTAGGCGAAAAGTGAGTAATTTATCGACAAAACGGCGAAAAAGGGGGAAATCCACATTATTTCCTCTGGACAGGCGAAAAATGCGACATTCTGATGTGTTTTCCCCTTTCGCTACCAAAGCATTTACCCCTTTATTTTCCCTTTTTGGGTTGTCTGGGGAGCTACAATGTTTTGGCTGCCGGTATTATTGCAAAAATACCTAATATCAGAAATAAGTACTGATATAAAGCTGTTACGAGAAAGCACTGAAAAGTACGATTCGATAGTCAAGATATCTTGATCTAAGGTGACCAGATTGTGTGAGATCCTATGTGATGATCTTCGGAAATCAACCAAGGCCTGTCTAGCTTACGTGCTGATGCCGTAAATGACAATTACTCATAACTTACGTGGGACTAGAATAGAATATGCATCAAGAATTTCAGGTTACACAGGACGATTGAAAGTAAATTCACACAGTAGTCTTTATATATGTTCATCGTCTAAGTTTCCGAAGTGCAACCTGCCCAAAGAATTAAATAATACAATCCGTGTATGTTGTGACCCATACTTTCCTAAGCAACGCAAGAGATAAAGGAAATAAGCGTGATTGACTATCCAAAGGAAGGGTGTGCTAAATGCACTTTCGATCTGTAATTGGATACTGGTTTCCGTTTTTATACTAGTTTCTGGTAAACATTTATACTGAAATAACTTTCCTGTCTATCTTATTTCCAGCTAGCTTCGCAAGCGTTCACAGACCTAACGGGAACAATTCCTGAGAAGTAGAAGTTATTTATTAATGGATCATTTGTGCTAGATTCAAACTTTAATAAACGTTTACATTTATAACGCACCAGTCTCTTAATTACGGCAATTCTTATCTATCGTGACACGTCGAAATCCGAACTACTAGTATGGTACACCATGTTCAAGGTAGCAGTATTTGGTAAACGGTATGTATGACTAATCGCGTGTGCGCCAAACTGGTAATTATTACACAAGAACGCGAAACAACATCCCTGTCTCACAGCCACATAAGACTGCACAGTACACTCCCTGCCGTTACGCTATAAGAATAAGTCAATCGCCATATAAATGAATTTATGTAAAACTAAAAAGATTACAATATTAGAACTTCTTGTTAGCAAGAAGCATAGCTATGGTCTGCATTAACAATGGATTCTGACGTTGTAGCTTCATCATTAGCACCGACTGAACTCATCAACTGTGCACATATGTCTTCCGATGCTTCGAGGCATGAACGGATGAGTTTACTTGCCATAGGTTCACTAAGAGCATGGATTGAGTGGTAGTTGCTAGTGAACTTCTCTAGCAGATCATCACTCCCTGTAGAGATTGAGATGTTGTCCAGCGCACGAAGAACCAGGTCCATTATGTATTTTCTTGTCCACCGGTTGCTATGTCGAAATAAGTCTACAAAACTTATAGAGATAAAGGAACACACATACCTCCGCGAATCAGATCTTTAGAATGTGCATACAAAATATGACCACAGGGCAGCATGTAGTCATTGAAACGCTCACAAGCACATCGTGCACGTGAAGTATCAACAACATACATCATACCCTTGTCGTAGCACCGGATGTATTCTCCTTCTATAAATTCGTGTCTCATTGTCCGAACACGTTTATAATTTACAGCTACAATTTTAGCTGCAAAAGATGTGAACTCATTTAGAAGAGTTCGAAATGACATTGGAACCTGGAATTAATGATACATTTAACTATATTTCTTACCTGAAGAATAGGAAAACGTTGAAGATCCTTCACAGCGTCATAAGGACGCAAACGTACATCAATGTCTGTTTTACTCCAAATTTTCCAGAACGTCAATAATAGGGAATCACCTCTTCTGAGACATTCTTTTAGGTGTTTATGAGCACTTTCAACACGGTTGTTTGTGTGGTTGCCCAGGCTTAATACATGTCGCCGGTAACAGCGAGCCCACATTGACTTCCTAGCAATCCAGTAATCTTTTATGTAATCATACGCCCGTGGAAAATGCGTTCTTAGATGTTCGTACTTTCGAGTAAATCTGAATATAATGCGCTATGAAAAGCGAAGCTCACATATCAGACCGTCTAGTCTTCACAAGCTGTTCCAAGCATTTGCGCACATCAGGATTTCGGAACTACAGAAAATAATTTGTACAGCTAACACATACCTTCCTGAAAAACGCTCTTAGGACATGGAATGAACAAAGTATTGTGTTAGAATGACTGTGCGTAGACTGCACAGCCGAAATTTCGGTCGCTGCCGAATCCATAATGAACGTGCGTGTAGCATAAGTACCGCACATTATCTCTTTAAAACATTCCAATAGTTTTTCTATATCTTCGCGTCGTTCTTGACTGCAAAGAGCATACATAACAGTGTGCCCTTGCCCAAGACTATCAGTGACCACTAGCTGGAACAGTGGAAAGCTTTCAGATAAATTTATTACTAATCGTCACTTACCCGACTTTATTGGTCTGATAAGTCGAATCAATACATATTACTTCCGGGAACGCGTGGTAAACAGCTATTTGCTCTCTGCGGCTGAAGCAAATCATAGACATGTTCCCATTTTCATAGAATACTTTAACTTCAGTATTACCTTGAATGCGCTGTAAAATGTTATTGATATTTTTAGTGTCTAAACTCAATTAATTACAATGTGAGTTCAACAACCTGGGTACAACTGTGAACGCATTCTGGCGATATCGTCCTTGGTAAGTTGTTTATTGAACTTCAAAGAAACCAGATACCGTAAGCTACGAGTTGGTGTATTACTCAGTAGAAACGTTCTTAAATACAAGCGTTCACTTGAGGTCAACTGTCGTTTCGATGGATCGACAGAAATATATCCTTCTGTGCAAGGATGGTTGTGCACGGTTTTAATAGAGGTGAGTTTCAACTCACCATTCAGTGCCCGGACCCAAAATCCTGATTTACAGTGGCAATATTTCGACCTGAAGGATAAATTCATTTGAAGTAAGGCATACGTAGATGACCGACGTCGTCTCCTTTGCCTAGGTTGTGTTGGCGAGTTAGAAGTTGTATGCTCTTCAGAAGAATGATTATTACTATCATCATCTACATCCTGAACGCAAGCATCTGACTCTGACGAACTGCGTTTACGTCCATATGTACAGACATATCGCACGAAAAAGTACTTTAGAGTTGGATCATCACTGTTCTTTTTGCATACTGACATAACGTACTTAGTATGCGTATACTAAGAAAATAATTATTAACCACAGAGGTCATATTACCTTATGTACTTCTTTCAAACAGGTCTCAAAATTGTCCCAACTTGTAAATCTTCGAGATAACATAATATCATTGAAGATTCGTCCTATATCATGCATCATCACGATGGAATCGTCTTCGTTACTTGAAGAATGAACGTTATCAGACATAGTGTGGCTGAACTCAACTCAAATCTAAAAATGTCTTGATTTGACCGCTTCTGAAAATTTTCACGAATTGTCGATGTGACGCACCAATCATTTTGCGACAGTTTGACCTTCAAGTGCTCGCAACCCCCATCAGTGGACGATACCCTAGGAGCGTTGCCATGAGATGGAGACAGTCACGGTTGCCTGCTCCGTCTGCGCCAAAGAAATTCCAGAGGATCAGGCTTTATACTGGTATAGTTGCCGAAAGTTCCATCTACTTCAATTAGCTCTCAATGTAAAGCACTATTTTACTGCAGTGACAAGTGCAGGACTACGGATTGGATATCTCCGGACAATCCAGATCACAGTCATCAGCAATGGTGTAGCAAAATGAAAGATTTTATGGACTTTGAACCCATTCTTCAGAAACTGCCTTTTACTTTTGCTCCTAGTAAGTTGAACGATTTGTAGTTAATACCACCAGTAACTACTGCTGCAGATTTTACGCAGTTTAAATTAGACGAGATTCTCTCGCATTTCGGAGTAAATCGCCAAGGCCTCTGGAAATATGAGTTTTGTTCTAATTCACATCATTTCCAGATTTCTCCAGGTAATTTTATGGACCCAAATAAATTATATCATTCCCAACTATTAATGTGTTACCTCTTAGTGTACTCTTCATCTATTGTTCTCATTGTGATGTTTGTTGGTGTATTAACGTGGAAACCTACATAACTGTCTAAGCGCATGGTTTCCTAAGTGGATTAAGATAGTGGAGAAATCAGGTTTCCAGATCTTCATCGGTTCGAAAAGCTTGACGGATCAATTTATGTGACTCAGGGCACTTAGAAGTCATTCACCATATCATCCTTTCTGTCTGATAAATATCAAATTCTAAAACAAAATTTGCACATTAGCTACAACTGATTTTGATACTTTTTATTTCTGTTTCCAAAACCACTCCGTAGTTTTCGGGATTACTTAATTGCTAACATGTCCATTCATAGCGATGGTTTTATCAGCCTACAGTCGTTTCGTTCTCATTTTTTTTAGAATTATTTTTGATGAGACTATAGTTTATGGGTGAACCAATCCGGTATAGTATAAAAGGTCTCGGTTTTTAGCGCAAAATTCACTCACCCATTTGGCTGAATAAAGTTTTGGCATCATAGCTAATGTAAGTTCGTGGTGAAAACTCTAAATCTAATTCCTAACATCGGCCATCAACTGTGAATCATAATTTTGATTCATCACATTGGTTTATAACCCTCATTTGGTCCTAGTTATTAAGTGAACACTCAAGGTCACTCCAGCGTCGCACAGAGGTAGTCCATAAATTATAGTTTCATATTATTTTTCTTTCTTATCTGTTGCGTAGAAAAAAAGTAAGTTAGTTTTTGCTAGTTACAACGTAATACTTCCAGATTATGAGTCACACTTTCAAGGCATTTACACATGAGGATGCCAACATTGAGAATTTTCATACAAACCAGTGATTCCACGTTAAAAATAATGATACATACCTTACTCAATTTGCTTATTAATCGTTGTTTTAGGTGGTGATCTCCCTCTTTTCTCAGATTTGTGGACTACCACCACCATGGATTCTGAAAAACTCTCACCGGTCACTCTGTCCTCGTCTTCATCTTATGAGGATGCTCTATTCCGGGCATTCGTGTCCCCGTCACTCGCTGTAATTATGAGTTTGTCTCCATTATATGACTCTCCTGCTCCAGATCTTCAAGATCCAAGCTTGGTGAATATAAATTTGCGTAATTGGCTTGACTACTACAAGTGGCGAGGCCTTTGCTCTCCGGATGAAGAAAGTATTTCTAATCCACTGGCCTTGCTACTTCACTGGCCTCTTACTCTTTATCATATTGTTGCTCACAAGCTTCCACAAATAAGTGAGTTTTCTTTTCAAGCTGCCAGTTTGATTCTATTTTTATACATAGTCATATATCCATTAACCAGTTGCTCCAAAATGGCAATAACGTAATAAAGTACAGTAAGTCGTGCCATCCCGACCGTTGTTGCTACCTTGACGTGGTGGTCGGGCTTGCCTATCGTGATGACCCAACCGAGCTATACTGGCTGGAACAACCGTTCCTCAAGGTCCTACAGTGTCAGACAGGTCGGTTGAAGAGCGGTAAGACTAAAAGCAACCAACCCAAGGTCCGAAGGCCAAGTCGTACTGCTGACTGTACAGAGGTGTGACAGCAGTAAGGTGTTTCCTTCAGACAACCAGCATGACAGTGATGCTGCCTTCCCACAAGGAGGAGTGGGGTTAGAAAAGATCGACCCTAAAAATGCACACCTCGCCTTATCCCACGGATATCCGTCTCCGGCGGTAAAGTCTCAACAGGTACGGAGCCAACACAAAAATTACCCATAAAAAGGTCGTGTGTGACCGACCTCAAGCAGTTGTCCCTTGGGCACTGCGGTCACGCTCTCAGGTCACTGAGACCGCCTCTAATCCAATTTCCTTTTCAGGTACCTCCAGAAGAACCCTTCCTCGGTGTGGGCAACCGGGAAGTGATAACCGCCCTCATACCTCTAACAGCACCCAAGACCACTGTATTCATAATCAACCTTCCTCTTCAATTCCTATTATTCCTCCTACATCGACTTTCACCTCTAAACTTCCTTTTTCGGCTTCCCCCTCAAGTGTCACCATAGCCAACGATTCTAGTGCTCCAAACACTGTCCCAGGTCTACTGAAACCTCGCTCCAAACTACACATTGGAGCCTTCAACGTACGCACCCTATGTCAAATCGGTCAGCAGGCTTCCTTGGCTAAAACCCTAGAGTCTCTTTCCATTGATGTATGCTGTGTCTCCGAAACACGCATACAGGATTCCAGTGTGGTCATTCACTTGACCTCACCTCGGCAAAACGGAGAGCCAACGAGATACACCCTACGTGTATCTGGTGACCCGATGGCCAGTTCTCGTGGACTGGCAGGTGTAGGCATAGCACTAAGCATGAGGGCGGAACAAGCACTGTTAGAGTGGATCCCCGTCAACAGTCGTCTATGTGCTGTTCGGCTAAACGGTTCCGTAAGAACTCGGAAGGATAGGGACACACGTCGTTGCCTTTTTGTCGTTTCTGCCTACGCTCCCACTGACTGCAGCTCAGATGAAGTGAAAGATGAATTTTACAGAAACCTATCTGAACTTCTTCAGAAAGCTAAACGTTCAGACATAGTACTCGTAGCAGGTGACTTTAATGCTCAGATAGGTAGTTTAAACCAAACAGAAAGACATTTAGGTGGGTATTTTAGTTTACAGGCTCAGCGAACAGATAATGGTGATCGTCTGCTGCAACTGTGCTCAGACAATCGTTTATTTTTAGCAAACAAATTTTAAGCACAAGGGGAGACATCGTCTATTGATGAAAATAACATTCTCGTCTACTGAGTTCTCGGGTATTGATCTCCATCCAGGAGGTCCACTTATCGACTTAGACTATGCAGATGATATAGTCCTGTTTGGTGAAGACGCTGACAAAATGCAGAGTCCTTTGGTAGCACTAAGCAACAATGCCAGAATGTTTGGAATGCGCTTCTCTCCCTCTAAATGCAAGTTGTTGCTTCAGGACTGGTCCGCGTTAACACCTGAACTAAGGATAGGGAGTGAAGTAGTCGGACGCGTTGACAACTTCACTTATCTTGGAAGTCTGATCAGCCGTAATGGGTTGGTGTCTGACGAAATCTCAGCACGGATTCGAAAAGCTCGTTTGGCTTTTGCCAACCTACGTCACCTGTGGCGAAGGCGAGATATCCGTCTATCAATAAAAGGACGAGTATACTGCGCGGCAGTCCGTTCTGTTTTACTTAACGGCAGCGAAACATGGCCATTAAGAGTAGAAGACACTCGTAAGCTACTAGTATTTGACCATAGATGCCTTAGAAATATTGCTGGCGTCTGCCGGGATCACCGGGTAAGTAATGGTGAGGTTAGACGCATGGTATTAGGGAAGGATGGTAAATCAGTTGTGATGAGGTTGTGAATCTTCATCGACTGAGATGGTTGAGCCACGTGTTACGTATGCCTGAATACCGATTACCACGACGTGCAATGCTAACCGGTGTTGGGGATGGTTGGAAGAAAGTTAGGGGCGGCCGAACGAAAACGTGGCATCAGTGCTTGAAGTCACTAACTTGTAGTCTGAGCCATGTTGGTAGATGCAGACTACTTGGTTGGGGTCCGCGTGACTATCGTAACCAATGGTTGGAGACTCTTGGTGACATGGCTCAGAATCGATCACAATGGTATCGGTGTATACACTCCCTGTCATCCCTTAAACTAAGAGATTAAAATCGCTTCATATCTTTCTTTCTACGAACCAATTTTTTCTTCTTGTACTATATATCTATATGCAATCTTCCTCTTATATATTACCACCTTTGACCTAACCACTGCTATGAATCCGGTGTTCATCTTGTTGTGCTGATGCGGTATGGCAACCTGGACCGATGCATATATGTGCCTGGTCGTACGTTGTAGCTGACTGACTGACAAGTCGTGCCATATCACCGGCCAGTTAAACTCTCCTAGCCCTAAATGGACGTGTTTTTAAAAATCAAGCATTACTTTATGGTGCTGTGAACTTTCGTTTCAGTAACGCTTAGAGTCAGTGTTTCTTCCTGTTGAGGAGCCACTAGACAGGGTAATTTTTAGCAGTTTTTTTCCTTACGTTTATCAAATCGACTGAATAATATGGCGCCTAGGATATTAACTTTCATAAACATTTGAGGCATAATTGGAACAAAAGCTCCAGAAAAGTCAATCGGGCTTTATTTTGATCTGCCAAATATATATTCTTCACCACAGTTCTATTTGGCAAAAACACTAATATAAATGAGTCTTGTAGATTCCTGACTGGTTTTTGTCAAACAGTGTGTGCATGACTCAAGATTTCTTCTTACTCTAACTTTTATCATTTGTAGCCTATGAGTTCTGTTCGTTTACTCATCAAAGTGGCAGACCAAAGTATGACGACAGTCCATAAGCTTACTAGTCGTTACACTGATTTATGTACGCAGACACAAACTTCTGATTTTAAATCTGCGAGACGACTGTAATAAGTTGTTGAGGAATGACATGCCTAAAAAATAATCTCGGTGTAGAATATGCGTTCGGACTTTCTTACCCTTCTGTAGGTTTCAACTTTGTATTGTCCTTTGCCTAACTTCATTTGTTCTACCTATTTTTCTCAATATTGATTTTCAACCTGTTACTTTTTCTATCATTGATTCCCCATTTTCCTTCATCTTGGCAATCTCAACTCTATGTTGTAGCGGTTTGGTAGTTTGGGTTGATCCAACTGATCTTACGTTGACTATAACGGATCGAGCTCGCAGTCCTAATCTGAAGTTTCACAACGTGGAGTCATGTTGGTTTCTACGTTGTTGAATGTGTCCGTTCGGCTTTCTAACACTCCTTTGCAGATGTATGTTCAACTTGAAACGTTTTACAATATAAGCTGATAACTCGTCAAAAATAAGTATTGTCTTCTGTGTTCAGACGAATATCCAACATTTTTATGCTTTGGCATAATTGTTGTACTTCTTACTGTAAAGTTATGAGTAATTTATTGATGTGTTTTCATGTCATTTTTCGTTTTTCCTTCCTTTTTCCTAATAGACCCCTTCTGTATCCCAAAAATTTTGATAAATCGGAAACTTATCATACATGTGATTGGAGTTGAAAAAGAACTCTCTCTTTTGCCAGTATTCAAAGTATGCTGAAGTGATCATTCCATAATTTTGATAATAATATTAGTCTTAACTGGATACGTAGGTTTAACAGTTCTCTCAGTTTATTTCTCTAAAGTTGTATTATTTCATTGGCGATTAATAAACAAGCGTTTTACTCTAACACTATTTAAGATACATTGTTTTAGATCATAATTTGCTCACTGAATATGCGTTTATGTACTCGACTTTCAGCCGTATGGTACATGTTCGATTGCAGCTAAGTAGATAGATTGTTTTTTAAATGCATAAACAATGAGTATTGAAGATGGCTTCATTTTCTTTTTCTGTTATTCCTTAAAAATTTTTTGTATGTCCAAAAGGACGTGCCTCTGTCCAAATAGATCCTATCACGAATTGTATCTTTTTGTAGTTTCATAGCTTTGAACACAATACGCTTGCAGATCTTCATATAAATAAAAAGAATCTTAAAATTAAGTGTTAACCGAACAAACAAATATTTACGATAGCAGATACGAGTAAACAGTATTATTTTCAACTTTATCAGTCTTCACTCTAATACTCAATAATATTAATGTGTTTGTATAGAGATATTAGACCAATCATGGCGGTTTATGAGTTAACGATAACAGAGGAGTGGATCATCTGACTAAACACAATAAGTGGGTCATTAAACTGTTATGAATTTAAGTTGTGAGACTGCAGGGTTTGATAAGCAGCGTTTATTGATCGATTCGATGAGAGTGACACGGAAAACACGTAGGGACGACCTAGTGCCCTGATTGGCCCTGCCCCGCTGTCTGTCCAACCCAGTTGAGTGGAGAACAAAAGTCACAGCCTCGGAGATATGAATCACTATATTTCAAACATACTTTGTTTATATACTAGTCAAGCATACCACAGCGTACCATAAAAATAGAAAACAACATTTTGTACAATATTCAACAAGTGAACAGATATCGACCAATAGGAAATGTACATTTAAAGTCCAAGGACACCACTGGACTTAACATGATAATTATTGGTCTATTCTTCCGCATCCACAACACCTCCCCTTTTTTTTGAAGATCCGGAGTTGATATCCGGATTTTGAAATTTTCTGGGTTCATCCTCCCCCACGAAATAATGTTGGGTCCTCATATTCCCAAGTTAGAATTAATTTGACTTTATTTAACACATAATTGTCAGATTGAACAGGGGAGTCACTGAAAGTGATTAAATAGTGGGGAACAATGTCGCTTGATATGAGGTCACCAACGTTTGATTCTTCTGGAACATTGTCACGGGATTTGTTGAAAATCTCATTTGTAAACAGTTGATCACTGCGATAATCAACATCTATCAAAATTGTATTAGATTTCTGATCATCATTTAATGCATTTAACACATTTTCTGGTACAAAAAGATCTAGATAATAAGATTCGTCAGAATCTCCTGTTGTTGAATGATGAGGACCATTTGAAACAGCTGGATTCAGTGTACCGCACGATTTGTTCCCTGTTCCGTTGTGGGCGGGTACTGCAATTAATTTATGAGCATTTAATAAGAGATCCTCCTGTGAGCTGGGTACATCACTGTCTGTACACGTTTCAGGAACAGTGGGATTTGAACCCACGACAGGGAACGTTTCGGAATTTGACATTTCTGGACAACTGGGCGGACCATGAATAACTGTCTCGTTTACATCACTGGTCGTCCGGGATTCACAGAGGCTTTTATAAACAGCTTCATATGTTCTGCAGTTGTTTTCCAGCTCAGTCTGCAGATGAGAAATGAATTTACCAACTTCTGTTGCACCTCCGAAACATGGAAGATTTACCAACAGTGTGCGTAAATTTTCTAAAAAATTTAACTGGCTATTTTTGAAGCACTGCTGTTGTTGCTCAAGTAGAAGCTGTAATCGATCGGAAAAGGTAGTCATTTTTTTTTCAGCACCTGCAATGAAAATTAACTGTAGGAATAATGACCAATGCTGCTCAAGGACGCTGGTGACAATCTGGATGCTGATTGGTCGAAACAATTAACCTGAATCTCGTCCAATTACAAGGTTCAAAATTTTTCTCCACCCCGTCGCCAATTGTTATGACTTTACGTTGTGACAGCAGGTCTTGATAAGCAGCGTATTTATTGATCGATCGCAGTACAGTGACACGGAAAACACGTACGGACGGCCTAGAGTCTCTATTGGTCTCGCTTCCCTGTCTAGCCCAGTTAGTTGAGTCCAGAACACAAGTCACACCCTCTGAGATATGAATCATTATATTTCAAACATACTCTATTTATATACTAACCAAACATACCACATCGTACCATAAAAATAGAAAACAACATTTTGTACAATATTTAACGGATGAATAAATAATGGCCAATAGGAAATGTCCATTTAAAGTCCAAGGACACCATTTGACTTAATATGATAATTATTGGTCTATTCTTGCGCATCCACAACATAAACCCTATCCTCCCAAGAAGGTAAGGTCATTGCAAATTTCCTACGAATATAGATACTAAAGTTGCTAGTTCAAATCCCTATGGCTCCCACTACATGTAAGTCAGTCAGTCAGCTACAGCGTAGGACCAGACACATATATGCGTCGGTCCAAGTTGCCACATCTCATTAGCACAACAAGATGAACACCAAATTCATATAGTTACTTCAATGGCAATAATATATAAAAGGGAGATTTGGAAACCTATGTGCCTTCAACGAACTGGTCATAGGCGGCACCATATTCCAACATAAACGCATACGCAAAACCACATGGACTTCACCGGATCACACAACACAGAACCAAATCGTCCATATCTGCATCAACAAAAAGTTCAGGAGGACGATGGAGGATGTGAGAACCAAGAGAGGAGCTGATATAGCATCAGATCATCACTTGCTGATCACCAAGATGAAATTGAAACTTAAGAAGCACTGGACGATGGGGCGGACAATATCACAAACGTTTAGTACGACCTTTCTTTGGGATACTGACAAACTCAACAAATTCAAGATAATCCTCAGCAATAGGTTCCAGGCCTTTCATGATCTACTCAGTGGAGAAGGAACTACTATGGAGAGCAACTGGAAGGGGATCAAAGAGGCAATCACTTCAACATGTCATGAGGTTCTGGGCCACAATAAGCACCATCACAGGGAATGGATCACTGTTGACACACTGGATAAGATTCAAGAAAGGAGGAACAAGAAGGCGGCAATCAATACCAGCCGAACAAGAGCAGAAAAAGCCAAGACACAAGCTGAATACACGGAAGTAAACAAACAAGTGAAGAGGAGCATCAGAACTGACAAACGTAAATATGTGGAAGAACTGGCAATGACGGCGGAATAGGCTGCAAGAGAAGGAAACATGAGACAACTGTATGACATAACAAAGAAACTCTGGAAATCGCCGCAAACCAGAACGACCAGTGAAAAGCAAGGAAGGCGAGGCAATCACCAACATTGAAGAGCAACAAAACAGGTGGGTAGAACACTTCAAAGAACTCTTGAATCGACTAGCCCCACTGAACCCACCCAACATCAAAGCAGCACCAAGGGACCTCTCAATCAATGTTGGCCCACTAACAATTGAAGAGATCAGCATGGCCATCAGACAAATGAAGAGCGGCAAAGCAGCAGGACCAGACAACATTCCAGCACGGGCACTGAAAGCAGACGTAGCAGTAACTGCAAGGATACTCCACATTCTCTTAAGCAAGATTTGGGATGAGGAACAAGTACCAAAAGACTGGAAAGAAGGACTCCTGATCAAAATACCGAAGAAAGGCAATCTCAGAATGTGTGATAACTACAGGGGCATCACTCTTCTCTCAATACCCGGAAGTCTTCAACAGGGTATTGTTAAACAGAATGAAAGACTCCGTAGACGCCCAACTTCGAGACCAACAGGCTGGATTCCATGAGGATCGATCATGTACAAACCAAATCGAAACACTACGGATCATTGTAGAATAATCAATTGAATGGAATTCACCACTCTACATTGACTACGAGAAGGCATTTGGTAGCGTGAACAGAACAACACTATGGAAGCTTCTTCGACTGCATGGCGTACCTGAGAAGATAGTCAATATCATACAGAACTCCTATGATGGATTAAACTGCAAAATCGTGCATGGAGGATAGTTGACAGACTTGTTGGAAGTAAAGACCGGTGTCAGACAAGGTTGCTTACTCTCACCCTTTCTCTTTCTTGTGGTGATCAACTGGATCATGAAGACGTCAACATCTGAGGTAAGCTAGTGATACAGTGGACATCTAGGATGCAGTTGGACGATCTAAACTTTGCATATGATCTGGCCCTTCTATCCCAAACGCAACAACGAATGCAGGAGAAGACGATCAGTGTAGCAGCAGTAGGTCTCAATATACACAAAGGGAAAAGCAAGATTCTCCGATACAACACAGCATGCACCAATCCAATCAAAATTGACGGAGACGATTTTGGAAGATGTAAAAACTTTTACATATTTTGGGCAGCATCATTGATGAACAGGGTGAATCTGATGCAGATGTGAAGGCGCGGATCGGCAAAGCAAGAACAGCATATTTACAACTAAAAAACATCTGGAATTCAAAACAACTGTCAACCAACACCAAGGTCAGGATTTTCAATACAAATGTCAAGACAGTTCTACTGTATGGAGCGGAAACATGGAGAACTACGAAAGTCATCATCCAGAAAATACAGGTGTTTATTAGCAGTTGTCTACGCAAAATACTTCGGATCCGTTGGCCGGACATTATTAGCAACAACGTACTGTGGGAGAGAACAAACCAGATCCCAGAGGAGGAAGAAATCAGGAAAAAGCGCTGGAAGTGGATAGGACACACATTGAGGAAAGCACCCAACTGCGTCACAAGACAAGCCCTCACATGGAATCCTCAAGGCCAAAGGAAAAGAGGAAGACCAAAGAACACATTAAGCCGAGAAATGGAGATAGACATGAGAAAAATGAACAAGAATTGGATGGAACTAGAAAAGAAGGCCCAGGACAGAGTAGGTTGGAGAATGCTGGTCGGCGGTCTATGCTCCATTAGGAGTAACGGGCGTAAGTAAAGTAAGTAAGAGATTTCATGTAAGGATATGATACAGGGAGAAAGAATTAGTTCGTAGAAAGAAAGGTATACAGTAATTTTAATCTCACCATTTGAGGGCAGATATGAAGATGAAATCGAACACCATAAAAAAGCAGAATGTATTACTTTGAATGATATGATCCTATCTACTACCTCATGTTTTTATTATTTCAATAATTTATATTTCCTTGAGTGCCTAATCTTTCTTATTACCATTATTACTGTGACCAATTCTACTATTATGGAATTTGTCTTGACAGTTTCATCTTTATGTGATAAAGAAGTGTGGTAATTTAAACAGATGTATATATTTTCCAGGTTTAAGAGTGTTTGGCTGATTGATCGCTATCGACCAAATGTGATAGAATGGAGTTGTGTATTTTTGTTATACCCTTTCCCAATAACGAAGGGTGTTCATAAGCTGATTTGCTAAGTTGTCTTGTTGTTTGCCCGGTATTACTTTCTTCACAAGAGCTGCTAAATTCGTAGATGTCTATTGATGTGACAAAACTAGGTAACTTATCCTCCAAAGGCTTAAAAACATTTGTACTGACACCGCAGAAAACGAAGCACCACTAAAAGAGTATACATTAGTTACAATTTTTTCCATTATCATTAAATAAATCATAAAAATGCCATTCTACCACATTTGAGCAAATTATGCTTTTGAAAACAGGAACTGGATCATTTGTTCAAACCACAACTCAGAATCTATATCTATTTCATTGGTAGACATTTTGATGTTGCAGCAGATAGAGTTGTTTATCATCTTTCGTCACGATTGTCCGTAAGTGTTTGGGGTGGATTATATCATGAATTTTTGCATACTCAAAAACCAACAAGTGAACTGCCTGATTTAATTATTGGTAAGTAATGTATGTAAAACAAAGGTGAACTTATTTTGCAAACTGAACATTTCTAACGATATTTCTAAGGGTCGTTACTATTAGAATTGTTTATTTGTTGAGTTCAGTTCATAATAATTTTTGGTTATATTTGAAAATATCCCTTTTTTAATCGTAAAACTACCCTATAAATAATATGAAGAACCGACTGTTATCTAGATGTCTTTAATCTATGCATTAAAAAATGGATATTTATTCCACTCTAAATTACTCGATAACTTTTCAAATATTTATATATTTATTTAATTTCCATAAGTAAGGCACTGATGACATACATGATATATTCGTGCTCTAATAGTCGTTCAGAATTTGTGTATTTAAGCTGTTAAGGAATCAAATCAATTCTGTAGTTTCCTGTAGTAAACTTATGTATATTTCCTGACGCATACTTAACTTAAATAACATGTAGAATGTTTATTTTGAATTGCCTATTTTTAAGACTTCATCTAATGCCTTAAGTTTGTTCGTATTACTTAACTTCCAATACAAACGGTTAGAGAATACTCTGGTGAGTTCAAATAGATTTAAAAAATAATCTATATCAACAAGTGAGTACAGCGTTGTGTAACTACCTATAAGTTACTTGCTATATTATTTTTGATAAAACTTCCTGTCCAGTTCTCAGCACAAATCAATGATAATTACTACTGGAAAAATTGCTTTTCAACGCTTATTCAAAAAAATCCTATTCACAGTCATTTGATAACATTCGTCACGCATCAAAATTGACACAGCTTCGTGTAGAAGTGAACGGGATCATATCTTTTATTCTAAATAAAGCGTTTCTAAGAGTTTTAGTTGTCTTATAGAAAGCTTTGGTTTTGTATATTTTCAATATCCGTTGTAACTCTTCTGTTTTACCTTATCGTTAAGATAAAACCATAGTAACAATCCAAGATCTTTCATTAGGAGTTATTTACAGACGGACGGTTTTATTTTAACCAATATTCTTAAGAGAATTGTTGAAACGTAGGATGTGTATTACATTCTCTTTCCTTTAATTTGTCTTCTTAAGTAATGATCCTGATTGCTCTTCTAAAGAGATTCAGGGTTAGGGAAATATTCGCACTTAATGAATGTGCAGAGTTAAAATCAATATACCAATTTGAATGGGGATTTATTCGGTCTTAATTTTGATTGCACAATCAGTTAATCTTTCAAAGTTTTACAATTACGTTAACCTTTAGTTTCAAGGCTAGCTGTTTTGTTTTCAGGTTTCAATGCTGGTCTCGCTGCCTATCCAACTTGGCCACTCACACTGTCTTCCATCGCTGTAAGTTTACGCAAGTTTGTTTGTCGTATTTTTATTAGTGTTCTGGTCTCCTGTGAACTTGTAATAAAATGTGTGTTCGAATTGTGATGTTACGCTAATAATCGGTCTTAACGTTTCCGTAAACTAGCTATTTATTTATTTATTTGAACACAAATATTGATACAAAGGGGCACCAAATGCATATGTGCCCCACAATAACAATGAGAATGTGAAGAGAGAGAATGTAAAGTGCGTATAAAAAAGGCGAACATTAACGAACAGAAATTAGTGTATGAAAGTGAGATAATAATAATGGGAATCGCAGTTCAGTTGGCAAAGGTACAACCAGAAAGAACACTTCCAGTTAAAGAAGTTACGTCCATTTTTTATGAAGAAAATAAAAGAAAGTTACGAAAGAACGCCACTGACTTCTATTCTGAGCCATATCTGATGACATAAATAAAAATAAAATATTCTTGTAATATTTGGTTATTTATTCTCTGAAGAAGTGGCTTACACTTAGTCACGAAACGTCAGAAAATCTAATTTTCTACTTGTTGGGATATTACAAATATATTATTTTTATTTATAACAATCAACCCAATGCTCAATTTATTCGAAATTATCAAATCAAACATTGGTAATGATACCTACATATCTGATGACGTTGCATCATCTCTAGGACCCCAACCAGGGAGTCGTGATGGACCAACAGAAGCTACTCCTGTGCAGCTCTCTTTCATACCATGACACGGTGTCATACACTAACCACCTTCGCTTTTTCCAACCAGTTCCAGCGTCGGCAATTAATGCACAACGTGGAATTCTCTGGGTAGAATATGTCCAAGACACCAATGTCGATGTTTAAGGATAGTGACACTAATTGAATTATCGTCGCTGTGCCCGAGCACACTGCCGAACCTCTGCATTACTAACATGGTATGCCACTGGATGTCAGCAATCCTTCGGAGACAACGATGATCGAACACAGAGAGTCGTCTAACGTCCTCAACTCGGAGAGGCCAGGTTTCACAAGCATAGAGGAGAACTGCACTCACCGACGCGTTGTAGATCCGACCTTTTACAGTCAGACTAACATCACGAAGGCGCCAAAGATGGCCCAGATTGGCATAAGCCGCTCTGGCTTTCACTACCTACCAGCACTTATGCAGCTACCCAGATACACGAACTTCTCGACTACTTCTATCTGCTCATCATCCAGGGTGAGTACAGGATTAGAATCCTGCCAGTCTTGTAGAAGTACTTTGCACTTCGAAAATGCAAAGCACACACCATACCTACGGACACTGATTGCCAACTGATTAAGTGCGGATTGCATGCCTTGGGCATTATCGCACAGTAAGACAATATCATCCGCATACTCAAGGTCGAGAAGTCTTTCTCCAGACAACAGATCCACACCACCATTACTTACATCCATGAGAGCTGTTTCCAGAATGTCGTCGATGGCAAAGTTGAAGAGGAATGGTGAGATTGGGCAACCCTCTGTAACCCCACTGCTCGAATGGAACAATGGAGGGAGGTGGTTGTATGCCCTCACTCTGCCTGAGGTGTTTGTATATAGGGCCTTTAGGATGTTAATAAACTTCTCAGGCCGTTGTTGCTACCTTGACGTGGTGGTCGGGCTTGCCTATCGTGATGACCCAACCGAGCTATACTGGCTGGAACAACCGTTCCTCAAGGTCCTACCATGTCAGACAGGTCGGTTGAAGAGCGGTAAGACTAAAAGCAACCAACCCAAGGTCCGAAGGCCAAGTCGTACTGCTGACTGTACAGAGGTGTGACAGCAGTAAGGTGTTTCCTTCAGACAACCAGCATGACAGTGATGCTGCCTTCCCACAAGGAGGAGTGGGGTTAGAAAAGATCGACCCTAAAAATGCACACCTCGCCTTATCCCACGGATATCCGTCTCCGGCGGTAAAGTCTCAACAGGTACGGAGCTAACACAAAAATTACCCATAAAAAGGTCGTGTGTGACCGACCTCAAGCAGTTGTCCCTTGGGCACTGCGGTCACGCTCTCAGGTCACTGAGACCGCCTCTAATCCAATTTCCTTTTCAGGTACCTCCAGAAGAACCCTTCCTCGGTGTGGGCAACCGGGAAGTGATAACCGCCCTCATACCTCTAACAGCACCCAAGACCACTGTATTCATAATCAACCTTCCTCTTCAATTCCTATTATTCCTCCTACATCGACTTTCACCTCTAAACTTCCTTTTTCGGCTTCCCCCTCAAGTGTCACCATAGCCAACGATTCTAGTGCTCCAAACACTGTCCCAGGTCTACTGAAACCTCGCTCCAAACTACACATTGGAGCCTTCAACGTACGCACCCTATGTCAAATCGGTCAGCAGGCTTCCTTGGCTAAAACCCTAGAGTCTCTTTCCATTGATGTATGCTGTGTCTCCGAAACACGCATACAGGATTCCAGTGTGGTCATTCACTTGACCTCACCTCGGCAAAACGGAGAGCCAACGAGATACACCCTACGTGTATCTGGTGACCCGATGGCCAGTTCTCGTGGACTGGCAGGTGTAGGCATAGCACTAAGCATGAGGGCGGAACAAGCACTGTTAGAGTGGATCCCCGTCAACAGTCGTCTATGTGCTGTTCGGCTAAACGGTTCCGTAAGAACTCGGAAGGATAGGGACACACGTCGTTGCCTTTTTGTCGTTTCTGCCTACGCTCCCACTGACTGCAGCTCAGATGAAGTGAAAGATGAATTTTACAGAAACCTATCTGAACTTCTTCAGAAAGCTAAACGTTCAGACATAGTACTCGTAGCAGGTGACTTTAATGCTCAGATAGGTAGTTTAAACCAAACAGAAAGACATTTAGGTGGGTATTTTAGTTTACAGGCTCAGCGAACAGATAATGGTGATCGTCTGCTGCAACTGTGCTCAGACAATCGTTTATTTTTAGCAAACAAATTTTAAGCACAAGGGGAGACATCGTCTATTGATGAAAATAACATTCTCGTCTACTGAGTTCTCGGGTATTGATCTCCATCCAGGAGGTCCACTTATCGACTTAGACTATGCAGATGATATAGTCCTGTTTGGTGAAGACGCTGACAAAATGCAGAGTCCTTTGGTAGCACTAAGCAACAATGCCAGAATGTTTGGAATGCGCTTCTCTCCCTCTAAATGCAAGTTGTTGCTTCAGGACTGGTCCGCGTCAACACCTGAACTAAGGATAGGGAGTGAAGTAGTCGAACGCGTCGACAACTTCACTTATCTTGGAAGTCTGATCAGCCCTAATGGGTTGGTGTCTGACGAAATCTCAGCACGGATTCGAAAAGCTCGTTTGGCTTTTGCCAACCTACGTCACCTGTGGCGAAGGCGAGATATCCGTCTATCAATAAAAGGACGAGTATACTGCGCGGCAGTCCGTTCTGTTTTACTTAACGGCAGCGAAACATGGCCATTAAGAGTAGAAGACACTCGTAAGCTACTAGTATTTGACCATAGATGCCTTAGAAATATTGCTGGCATCTGCTGGGATCATCGGGTAAGTAATAGTGAGGTTAGACGCATGGTATTAGGGAAGGATGGTAAATCAGTTGATGAGGTTGTGAATCTTCATCGACTGAGATGGTTGAGCCACGTGTTACGTATGCCTGAATACCGATTACCACGACGTGCAATGCTAACCGGTGTTGGGGATGGTTGGAAGAAAGTTAGGGGCGGCCGAACGAAAACGTGGCATCAGTGCTTGAAGTCACTAACTTGTAGTCTGAGCCATGTTGGTAGATGCAGACTACTTGGTTGGGGTCCGCGTGACTATCGTAACCAATGGTTGGAGACTCTTGGTGACATGGCTCAGAATCGATCACAATGGTATCGGTGTATACACTCCCTGTCATCCCTTAAACTAAGAGATTAAAATCGCTTCATATCTTTCTTTCTACGAACCAATTTTTTCTTCTTGTACTATATATCTATATGCAATCTTCCTCTTATATATTACCACCTTTGACCTAACCACTGCTATGAATCCGGTGTTCATCTTGTTGTGCTGATGCGGTATGGCAACCTGGACCGATGCATATATGTGCCTGGTCGTACGTTGTAGCTGACTGACTGAAACTTCTCAGGCACACCCTTCTTCAACAGACAATCCTAGAGGACAGTCCTGTCCAGTGAACCAAAGGCAGCTTTGATGTCAAGAAACACTACGATTGTTGGCCTTTGATAAATATGACGGTGTTCTAACCTTTGGCAGAGGCTGAAGATATTATCATTACATCCTCCATCGGAACGAAAACCAGCCTGCTCCTCGCGAGGCAGTCTTTCTCGGGTTTTGAACATTCTACGAAGTATGACGGAAGCCAATAGTTTGTACGCAATCGGAAGTAGACTTATCCCCGATGGTTGTTACTGAAACGAGCAGAACAGTCTAATAGATGTTGTCGGGACAGCAGACCACTTAAATTGTTCGCCGAAAAACTCTGCCCATCGTTCGAGACGTCCTTAAATGTTATTGTTTATCATCCTGTCATCACAGATTGTTTAACTCACACCAGATTCCTTGTTGCCAGTGACTCAGATGACTTGAAAGAGCTTCCGGTAGTTACCAGATGTAGCTGCTTGCACGTTCCGACCACCAGGCTTCTTGATCCTTACACAAGCTATTCCTCATTACGCAACAGTCTTCGTTTATAGTTAAGCTCGCGGTCAGTCGGAGTAAATCGACGGGCTTCAATGGGGATGGGCTTGAAGAAACTCGGCGCTTATAGCGGGACGTTTCGCAAAGCCGCAAGCGACCTTACTCCCCATTTTTATAGCATCATACAATTGCAACCAATGCTCATCTACACTTTTCGGTGGGATGGCAGCTAGCCTTAAACCTAGCTTTCACATGACCGCGCGTATACAGCCACTGTCTGGGAAGTCTTACTCAATGCCTTCTCCCAACGAGGGTGTTTACGAAGTTGAGAGAACGGAAAACGAATGTCTGGCGCTTTATAAACTCAAATCATTTGTTTTTATTGAAGTAAATAATCTCCACATTAAAGTTCACTAAGTCCTGCCACACAAGTAGTCATCCCACATATGACTATTCTTTTTGTTGGAGCGTGTCATAAGCTAACTAACTCTTGCATCCTCGAACATGTTCTAGCATCAAAGAACAATACTCAAAAAGTCGTTGAAGCATATATAAGACCTGTCTAAACAATGTGGTTTTATTATGATCTCACTGACTGATTGTATGTCTACACTATAGCCGGACTCGGACGTCAAATTATTTGGGCAATAATCTTACCAAGTGTAGGATTTCTTCCAAATGTAACAATGGTTGTGCAAAAACTCAAAAATTTTCACCTTGAATAGTTCGTCAAGTAGAGCTGCTTGTACTCAAACATTGGACAATAATCATTCATGACCGGATTAACATTGCTTGGCAGTTTATAAATAATTCCCTGTAGTTGAATCTTGACAAATAGAGTGGCACTGATTGTGAGCATTGATTGAATCATCAGGGAATATATCTGTAGTACTTCCATGCGGTTTTGGTCTTATTTACCGTCTGTATATTTTGAGTTTACTCGTTGAAAATACTCTATGGTCACAAAAGTCGCCGAAAAAAAGCCTTGGTAAACGACAACATTTTGATTTCATGACTAAAGTCCTACTGTAATCTGGAAAATGTTGGATGTCCGCATACTTATTGTTCAAAAATACCATCCGAGTCTGCGGGCAGCAATTTGTATTTCCTTAGTTTTATTTTATTAGCAGTTTTTATAACATTTAGCTTCGGTATCTAACACATTTATTAAAATAGTATTAGAATCTCTAAGTCAGTGTAAAATGTTTTCATTTCGTTTTGAAGGAAACTGGTGTGCCGGTGTTTTTTACAGATTCTTGCTTATACAGTTCATTATGGGGTTTCCAGGTATCAAGTTCTTTGGGTTTAGGCCCAAGTAAACCTGATGCCATTTTGGACGATGGTTATGACCAAACCAATGATTCCAATCAAACATGTCTGTTTCTAAATCCGTTTCGAAGCCCTATCCGTATTGAGGCGCCTGGTGTGCGATGGAGCTGGTTCTCAAATGCCTTCATATTCTCCCCTTTTTATCCTGCAGATTATTTACAGCAACGGTCAGACCTACCTCAGCGAATGGCTTCAATGAATGTATGACTAATTAACATAGTTTCCGTTTCGTTTTGCAGTGGATATACCCATGTCTCTTATCTCTGTAAATATTCCATCTTCAGTCTCTCCTAACGTTTTTTCCATGTACTATTAAGTGGCAACTCCTTAAAGCTGTTGTGTGCTTCAGTTCACACTCTTTCATTTGTTATCTATGTGAAACATATGACCTTGTTTGTTGTGAAAGCATTACCTGTTTTTCAAGTCACTATGATCGTTTTATAATTTACAGTCTTTTGTCGGCAAGAAGTGTTTAGCATAGGAGCTTAAATTTTGATACACACTGCACTTATATAGTTTGAAATGATCCTGAGTCGCCGCCTGTATTACTCAGTATATTGAAAATGCTCGACTATGGCCATAATTAAGGTAAGCTGCTAAATAGGGAACCTAGGACATTCATTGTCTGTGATTGTATCCTTCCGTCACCTAAAAACGGGTCATTTATCACGTGATATATTTGTTTCTTGATCTCACGAACTCGTTTTAATATGCAGGTGACCAATGCTTATTATAGGGATCAAATTAGTGCGAATAACCATCGACAATGTCTTTGCTAGACTGATAAGGCTAAGAATTAACCGTAATTATAAGAACGGGAAAGGTATATGTTACTCGTCTGTAATAAAGACAGGACAAGTTAGAAAAACTTCTAGGCAGAAAGATGAAGGTAAGCAACTACATATGCAGTTGGACTATGGTTAATTAATTTCAGTGACTTTGTTTTCGAAATGAATTCGGACTCAACTGGGCCTATTGCGCCTAAAGTATATTAATGTTATCAATTTTGAAATCTAGGTCTAACGGAGTTCAAGGTACCTCTCTCTAATAAATCCAAAGGACCTCATAGATCTGCATGAAATTGTTTTGTCAGACTCTGAAGCCAAATGTACAAAATTAGTGACTGATTAGACGTTCACTATTACTAAAGATAGATGCTTCCTCTGGTTTAGTGTTGGACTTAAACCTTTCTTTATCTTTCGCTTAGAGTTACTAATAAAACTTGGAAATTTACCAGTATTCCCTACTGTCAGGGTGCGACACATTTGCCAGCGATTGGGAGGGAGGACACTGGTTTTCAGATACACATGTCCTTTATGCTGATAATAGTTCTTAGGCATAATAGTGCAATGCACAACAGTGTTATTACAGTTACCTTCTGAAAGGCATTTAAACCCTGTGTAGTTGATGGTATGGGAGGACATAATCTTCATGGCACTTCTGTACGATACATACCTGATACATATATCGGTAGTGACTCATCTTTTCATAATGTTTATTCGTACATCAGATGCAGCTTGTTCGTCTTTAAAAGGGATATACTAAGAGACTTCTTAGCATCACAGCGATTGGTCGTCGGAAATCATTTAGACTGCTTACAGAGAGAATTCCGCTAAACCTGTTGTCTAGTTACCCGTCACTAAATGGACAGACGGAAAAGCCATATCCATTACACAGTCTCCTTCCGAAGGGGTAGAAAGTTTATTATAAAAATAAATCAGTGGTCATCTCGTTCCCGATCCGATTTCAAACCATTTGAAAATAGTCTCATCATTCTTACATCGATTTCGTACGAAGGACCAAATGGGGAGCTTGCTTCATTGGGAATATATTCTCCAGTATTCTGTATATTCTGTGATAAAAGCACACGTGCACCTGTGCGGAACTTGATAGAGTAAATTCCCAAAAGGATGCATGAGCATTCCAACACCTCACTGTCTGTTTTTGGTCAGCAGCATCTGATAAATTATTGATCCCTATACAATTCATTGCGCGCTCATTACGAATACGAAATGTCGAACATTCATTTTTGCTCATCTGGTTCTCTTCTCCCTACGCCTGTTACTCCCAGTGGAGCATAGGCCGTTGGCCAGCATCCTCCAACCCACTCTTACGTGGGCCTTCCTTTATAGTCTTATCCAATTATTGTTCATTCCCATGTCTGTCTCCATTTCTCTGCTTAATATGTTCTTACATCTTCCCCTTTCCTTTGGCCCTGAAGATTGCAAGTGGGGGCTCAGTTGGGTGCGTTCCTCAATGTGTGTCCTATCCACTTCTTCCTCTGGGACCTCGTTTGTTCTCTCACACAGTAGATTGTTGCTGATAGTGTCTGGACAACGGATCCGAAGTATTTTGCGTAGACAGCTGCTAATAATCACTTGTATCTTCTGTATAATGGCCGTGGTTCTCCAAGTTTCCGCTCCATACAGTAGAACTGTCTTGACATTTGCATTGAAAATTCTGACCTTGGTGTTGGTTGACATTTGTTTTAAGTTCCAGATGTTCTTTAATTGTAAATATGCTGTTCTCTCTTTGCCGATCCGCGCCTTCACATCTGCATCAAATCCACCCTGTTCATCAATGATGCTGCCCAGGTATGTAAAGGTTTTACGTCCTCCAAAGCTCCGTCGACTGTGATTTGATAGGTACGTGTTGTGCTGTATCAGAAAATCTTTCAGTTCCCTTTGTGTATGTTAGCACCTACTGCTTCTGAGGATGCTGCCACATTAATCGATTGAAGAGCCAGATCATCTGCGAATTCTAGATCATCCAGCTGCATCCTAACTGTTCACTGTATCAGGCAGTTCACTTGTTGGTTTTTGAGTATGCAAAAATTCATGATATAATCCACCCCAAACACTTACGGACAATCGTGACGAAAGATGATAAACAACTCTATCTGCTGCAACATCAAAATGTCTACCAATGAAATAGATATAGATTCTGAGTTGTGGTTTGAACAAATGATCCAGTTCCTGTTTTCAAAAGCATAATTTGCTCAAATGTGGTAGAATGGCATTTTTATGATTTATTTAATGATAATGGAAAAAATTGTAACTAATGTATACTCTTTTAGTGGTGCTTCGTTTTCTGCGGTGTCAGTACAAATGTTTTTAAGCCTTTGGAGGATAAGTTACCTAGTTTTGTCACATCAATAGACATCTACGAATTTAGCAGCTCTTGTGAAGAAAGTAATACCGGGCAAACAACAAGACAACTTAGCAAATCAGCTTATGAACACCCTTCGTTATTGGGAAAGGGTATAACAAAAATACACAACTCCATTCTATCACATTTGGTCGATAGCGATCAATCAGCCAAACACTCTTAAACCTGGAAAATATATACATCTGTTTAAATTACCACACTTCTTTATCACATAAAGATGAAACTGTCAAGACAAATTCCATAATAGTAGAATTGGTCACAGTAATAATGGTAATAAGAAAGATTAGGCACTCAAGGAAATATAAATTATTGAAATAATAAAAACATGAGGTAGTAGATAGGATCATATCATTCAAAGTAATACATTCTGCTTTTTTATGGTGTTCGATTTCATCTTCATATCTGCCCTCAAATGGTGAGATTAAAATTACTGTATACCTTTCTTTCTACGAACTAATTCTTTCTCCCTGTATCATATCCTTACATGAAATCTCTTACTTACTTTACTTACGCCCGTTACTCCTAATGGAGCATAGACCGCCGACCAGCATTCTCCAACCTACTCTGTCCTGGGCCTTCTTTTCTAGTTCCATCCAATTCTTGTTCATTTTTCTCATGTCTATCTCCATTTCTCGGCTTAATGTGTTCTTTGGTCTTCCTCTTTTCCTTTGGCCTTGAGGATTCCATGTGAGGGCTTGTCTTGTGACGCAGTTGGGTGCTTTCCTCAATGTGTGTCCTATCCACTTCCAGCGCTTTTTCCTGATTTCTTCCTCCTCTGGGATCTGGTTTGTTCTCTCCCACAGTACGTTGTTGCTAATAATGTCCGGCCAACGGATCCGAAGTATTTTGCGTAGACAACTGCTAATAAACACCTGTATTTTCTGGATGATGACTTTCGTAGTTCTCCATGTTTCCGCTCCATACAGTAGAACTGTCTTGACATTTGTATTGAAAATCCTGACCTTGGTGTTGGTTGACAGTTGTTTTGAATTCCAGATGTTTTTTAGTTGTAAATATGCTGTTCTTGCTTTGCCGATCCGCGCCTTCACATCTGCATCAGATTCACCCTGTTCATCAATGATGCTGCCCAAAATATGTAAAAGTTTTTACATCTTCCAAAATCGTCTCCGTCAATTTTGATTGGATTGGTGCATGCTGTGTTGTATCGGAGAATCTTGCTTTTCCCTTTGTGTATATTGAGACCTACTGCTGCTACACTGATCGTCTTCTCCTGCATTCGTTGTTGCGTTTGGGATAGAAGGGCCAGATCATATGCAAAGTTTAGATCGTCCAACTGCATCCTAGATGTCCACTGTATCACTAGCTTACCTCAGATGTTGACGTCTTCATGATCCAGTTGATCACCACAAGAAAGAGAAAGGGTGAGAGTAAGCAACCTTGTCTGACACCGGTCTTTACTTCCAACAAGTCTGTCAACTATCCTCCATGCACGATTTTGCAGTTTAATCCATCATAGGAGTTCTGTATGATATTGACTATCTTCTCAGGTACGCCATGCAGTCGAAGAAGCTTCCATAGTGTTGTTCTGTTCACGCTACCAAATGCCTTCTCGTAGTCAATGTAGAGTGGTGAATTCCATTCAATTGATTATTCTACAATGATCCGTAGTGTTTCGATTTGGTTTGTACATGATCGATCCTCATGGAATCCAGCCTGTTGGTCTCGAAGTTGGGCGTCTACGGAGTCTTTCATTCTGTTTAACAATACCCTATATAAGCGAACAAGATTGTTTTCGATTAGATCCTCATCAGGCTTTACTCTAATATATAGTAATATTTATATGCATATACGATATTATTAAACCAATCAAGGTAGTTTATGAGACAATGGTAACAATGAGAACGATTACATAATAAGTGAAAAGTACAAATTGCTAGTGTGATAACAGGTGCATTAGTTTTGATAAGAATAATAAAGGTTCAAATCAATGTTACATAATCGGAAATAGGTCAATTATTAGAAAAATATAGACAGTGAGATAAAATTTATAAAATGACGTAATAAGGAGTGTTCAGATAATTGGACCATGAAACGTATAGTTGAGAGAAAATAAACTAAAATGGTAGGAGGGGGTGAGGAAAAATAATAAACGAAGGGAAAGTTTGAAAAAATAATAAATAAATTCATTTATTAAGGCCAAGGGAGAGATAAGGGTGTTACAATTTTCTTTTGAACACAAAGACTTGACTTGTTGGCTCGGATTCCTATAGCTATGTGTGAGAGACGAGATCGAACACC